TAGTGGTTACACCTTTTTCTGGAGAGGAAAAACAGAGAATCAACCCATTCTCAATCAACTCTGAGCTCCCTGTTGGCATCAACAATCACTTCCTGACTCTGTCTACAATTTGCCAGGAACCAGCAGGCAACAGTTGCGAGTACCTATGCCCGACCTTTGATGCCATTGACTAGTTCAAAGATGACTTCTGCTCCATCCTAGACACCATACTCACCAACATCCCAAAGGAAGATAAAATTATCCTCCTTGATGATTTCAACGCCAGGGTTGGAAAGGACTCCCAACACTGGAAAGGAACGACTCAGGAACTGCAAGTCCCAACAGGATTCTCCTGTTCACCAAATACACAGAACATCAGCTGATCATCAACACACTATCTCAAAGAGAAAAGCTCAACATTTCTTGGAAGCATTCACGATCAAAACACTGACACATGATCAATTGCCAAACGTGTGGTCATAGATGTGGCTCTAGGATTGATCTCATCAGCAACACAAAAACCCACAGAACTCAACCAGTGTCACTGAATTTCCTTGGTGGACAATCATGCTCATTAGCGATTGACTGCTGACAACAAAGGACACTTAATATTTTTGAAGCCAAAAAGGATTAGGAATCAATACCATCTACAAAAAAAAAAAGACCCTTCCCATGTTGAGATTTGAGAAGGGGAATATTTCATGCTTAAGAAAGCTACAATTCTTAACTCTGGATATGTATACAGTTTGAATTTCTCATCAGTAAAACTACTGGCCCAGTGCTTGCCAGAATATTACTCTTTTGCACAGCACAAGACAGGGAAGCTCAGAAATTAAGATCTATTTTCAACAGTCTCCATTCTCACCATTTGCCATGTACCCCAACTGTGGAACAAGTTGCTCATCCATGCAATTTTCCCGACCAGGCACCAGTCGTTGGTATCGTGTTAGATGAGGATTTCCATCGACGTCAACTAGAAATGGGGGCGGCATGAGATGAGGCGCTTGCTGTGTCTGTTCATCCAGGACGTAATTGTTGGAATCACGGATAAGTGGACGGTAATCGGTATGAAAAAACATTTGGTCTGGGATCTATTGTGAACAAAATAAAATGGTTACCACTAAATTCAGATAATGGCAATGCAACAGAGCAGTTGATAACATTAAACCTATTAATGTACTGGCTTAAGAGGCATATAAATCATTTATCTTTAACAAAAAAAGAAAGAAAAAAAAATGTGAAAATTTCATCGTACTGCTTCCTCTTCTCCCTCCGTCATCCCCACCCCACAATTAACTTCCAGTCTTCCATCCCTAAAGACAGAGGTGCCTTCAGGTTACACAGCTGTAAACATCTGACATTCTCATATACGAATTAAGTTTCAGACAACAAAATGTTAAAATAGTAGCCAGCTACCACTCAAATATGATCATGTTCTATGTTAAACACAACCAAAATTTCCACAGAGAAACAAAAATGAATAGTCATTTGGGGAAATAAATCCTGACTATTTCTCCCTCTCTAATCTAGAGGACCATGACCAATGTCTAGATTATGACCAGCTAAGCTGAAAGTATAAGCTTAGAGCTTCCCAAACAGTCCTAAAGTTTAAGCATTTTTTAAAATTCATTCACAAGATGCAGACATTGTTGGAAAAGTTGGAATTTAACTCACTTAGATGTGGTGAACTGCCTTCTTGAGCTACTTCAATTCACATGTTCAAAGTACTGCCACATTGCCATTAGGGAGGGAGCTCCAGGGCTTTTATTCAGCAATGATGGGAGCGATATACTTCCAAGTCATTTCCTTAATCAGTCCCTCAGGATCAAGAATGACTTTCCTCCACTCCAGAACTGTGGATCCTGGAGGTGACTGAACAGTCCAACGATGGATTAGCACATTCTGCCACGGGTGGAGAAGGTTGGTTTGATAAGGCAGGAGACGGAATGCTTATTTTATCTGAGTTTGCACTTGGCCTCCACCTGCACTGGTCACAGACATCCAAAATGGTTGGCACTTTTGCAGAAGTTTCACCAGTTTGGGTGGTTTTGGGCAAGAGTTTCTCACACATAGGTGGGCATGTTGCATTTTGTTCAGGAAGGTTTTGAGCATGTCCTTGAAGTTTTCTTTTCCCTCCTGGTAACCATTTTCCATGACAAAGCTTGCCAAGTACTGACCTCATTTCAGAAATTTTGAGTCAGGCATGCAGACCACAAAAACAACCCTGAGATTCCAACTGCCACTTCAACACACCACCGTGTTCCTTGGCCAACACCAATCTCAGGCTCTCTCACTCTCTCTCTCCCCATCTCCAATTAATGTTTACTCTTTCTTACCCCACCTCATCTTCAGCATATTTACCTTTTCCTAGCTACCATTAGTTCTGAAGAGGAGTTACTGAACCCAAAGGTTGACTGCTTTCTCTCCACCAGTGCTGCCAGACCTGTCAAGTTTGTTCAGCAATTTCTGTTGTTAATGCAACAATGTGGCCTGACCAACACCCCTGTAACAAATGCCTCATTGTGCAGAGGTAAACCTCAGGAGACGACAAGGACTTTGGAGCTATCTTGCCATTGGATTTGCTGTATTTGACATTTCTCTAGGGATCTGAAACATCTGGTGTACATTGTCAAAGTCTCCAGTGTACACAGAAGGGCAAACAGCACAACTGCTTTGTAAACCACAAGCTTGGCATCAGGTTTGAAACCTTGTCAAACAGATGGCCAAAGGCTACATTAGCACACTGGAGTTGATGTTGTATTTATCATCAATGTCTACCCTAATTGAACAAAGGCTCACAAGGTATGAGAAATGATTCACATCATCCAGTCAAGGGGGCAGGCTGGTACAGAATGTTTATCTTTTGGTTGTTTAGCCTAAAGACCAATTCTCTCAACACTTGGTTATTGTTTGAGTGTTCAGCCTTCGCGTCCTCAAACAAAAGCATCATCTGTGTACCACAGCTCAATAAGAAAGGAGTGCTTTTCATTCTGTACTGGAGGCAACCCTGGTTGAACATTTTCCCATTCATTCTATAGACAGCTTCCCACTGGAGTGGAAAATAAGGGAGAGTGTTCCAGTTAGGAAGGTGAAGAGTAACACTGGGGAACTCTGTTCGTTGGAGTCAAACCTGGCACAAAAGGAAGATGGTTATAGTAATTGGAGGTCACTTGCCTCAGCTCCAGGACATCTCTGATAGGAGTTCCAACCATTTTCAGCTGTTCCAGCAACGACCTTCACGCCATCATAAGGTCAGAATTGGAGATGTTCACTGGTAACTGCACAACATTCAGCACCATTCGCCACTCCTGGTATACTGAAGTATTCCATGTCCAAAATCAAAACAACCTGGACAATATCCAGGTTTTGGCTAATGAGCAGCAAGTAACTTTTGTGCCACACAAGGGCCAGGCAATGAACATCTCTGACAAGACAACCTAACCATTACCCCTTAATATTCAATGGCATTACCATCACCCAAATCCCCATGACTGACATGCTGGGGTTTAGCATTGAGTTCAGTTTCTGGTTAATCAGCCATATAAATATGTAGTGGCTACAAGAGCTGATTAAACAGTAGGAATCCTGCAGCGAATGACTCGCCTCTTGACTTCCTAACCCTGTCCACCATCTACAATGTAGAAGTGTCATACGACATACTCACCAATTACCTGGATTAGTGCAGCTCCAACAACACTCGATACGCTTGACATAATCCAAGACAAAACAGCTTACTTGACTGGCACCATAACCACAAACATTCACTCCTTCTACCATTGACATTCAGTAGCGGTGTGTACCATCTACAAGATTCATTGCAGAAATTAACCAAGGCTCCTCAGGTAGTACCTTCAAAATGCATGTCTTTCTAGATGAAAGCAGTCAAAAGGCTGCAGGTACATGGGAACACCACCACCTGCAAGTTCTCTTCCAAGTTTCTCAACATGCTGCCTTGGAAACATATTGTCATTTCTTCACAGGGACTGGTTCAAAATCCTGGAACTTCCTCCCTAATGGCATTGCGTGCCTACTTGTACCAAATGGCCTGCAACAGTTCAAGGCAACAGCCCACCAACTTCTCAAGGGCAACTAGGGCCTGGCAATAACATCCTGC